TAATGCGGCTGGGACTGCCGTTCGTTTGCGGCCTTGTCATCCGTTTGGATGACTAAGTTCGCACGATCCAGAATGGCCTGGAACGTGTCATAGTCGTACTCGTTGCCGAGTGCCGACCGCAGTCCCGCGCACGATCGCGAGAAGAACTCGGATCGTTGATTTGGAAAGCTCAAATCGAATCCTGGCGTGGTCACTATCTTCTGCCACTTGGTTGTCCAGTCTCGAGTTGGCATATTTCCTTGAGAGCAGGTGTATACCTCGTTCATGGCCGCCTTCACGACGTTGCGGACCATGAATCGGGTGAACCAGAGCATCTCGAACTCTTTCCACGTGATGTGCGTGCGGAGTTCGGCGATGGTGCATTTGTTGGTAGCTGCCAGATGGTTCATCCAAGCCTGCGCTCCTCCAATTAGTTGCAAGTAGAGTGCCTTCATCATGTCGTCTGCTGGGACAGTGCGGCATGATGCTTCCGTAAGGAAACGTTGCCACCATGTCAAGGCGTCCGACTTGTTGTAGTCGTCGAGCTTGCTGATGGCGGCATCTTGTAAGTCTTTGTAGGGGCGTCTGGTCTCGTTAGCAGCTTGGTGATGTCCGTCTTGATGGCGGCCACCGTGCTGCTGATCGTATCCGGCCCATTGAAAACACCTATGTCGCCGATGATGGTGACGACGTGATCGATGCGCTCATTGAGTTGCTTCGTTGCGTCTGTCGTGCAGCTTGGCGCTGCTGAGGCGTTAGCCTCAATGCTGTTGATGCGTGCGAGAGCGGAGTTCAACAGCTGATGCTGTTGCTGCTGCTGTGTTGCTTCGGCGCGGATGGCAGTTGTTAAAACAACAATGTCTTGATGGTACTTTTGTCGCTGCTGTCGTTCCGTGCGCAAATGTGCCTGCAGCAGTGTGTTATTCCACATGATGCCTCTTATCATGCCCAGCATCAAGTTAGCCAGGTGAGTCCTCTCTGCCTCCGCCGGTGTCGGATCTGCCTGCGCGTCCGAAGGCACAAAGATCATGCCTTGGAGGAACGTTGTCCACTGACTTTCAATATGAATCAGGGACTCCGTACTGGCGGCATTCCGTTGGTCTCGTGCCGCTGCGTCAGCCTCAACAGTCTGCTGAGCTTGGGCTGCCGCCTCGTTGGCCAGCCGCAGACTTTCTGCCTCTGCTGCCTCCTGCTGAGCCTTGGCGGCAGCTACGGCATCTGTAAATACCTGTAGCCGCCCAAAATAGTCAACCAACGGCTCACAGGCCCTTCGGACCGGGCATGCGGGAAGAACTCCGGTGGTGTCCGGTACCGTCAATGTTGTACTCGATGCCGCTGGAGTCATCCGCCTGCTGAGTCTCTGTTGCTGAGCCTTGGTTCGTGGAGGTACCGTAGGTCGAGCACGAACTGCGAGCCTGGCACTGCGCCGTGGCAGTCCCCCGGTATCCTGTTCCATCGACATCAGTGTGTACTGATGCGGTACTTGAGAGGTCCCGGTGGTCACAGAATACGGGGAGGGTAGGGATAGTGGGAACAGGGGTAGAACAATCAAACAATACGCATACA